TTTAGCAAGCGATGTGAGCTGGCAGCACCCTTATCTAGAATCACTGTTCCCAGTTAGTGCATCTGCTCAACACCAAAGCAAACATTTCCCCCTTTGATCTTCACAATAAGCCTAAACAATGGGCAGAGTACTATCTCCTCCTTTTACAAATTAAGAAACAGGTGAAGTGGCTTGCCTAGGATCACAGTGGAACGCCCTCCTGCCCTGGCTTTCCACCATGCATGGTGGACACAAAGTCTCGGGTACTAGAAGCCACCACCACATGAAGAGCCATTTCTGAACATCCCCATCAAGACCAGTTTCTGGTAATCTGCCTCAGTAACTCTCCTGTGACTGCGTGCACCTACTTGATGCCTCTTTAGGATTAGTTTACGACAGAACAGAGCTCTATAAACTCCTCAACAAGCATCAGCTGAGGCAATACCCTCCTCGCATACAAATTCTACCACCCAGTCCTATGGCGAGGGGTTGGGGGGTAATAATGTCCAGACACACTTAGGGCTGCTTCCACAGCCTTCTCCGCTGCCAGATCTCAATCTGGATGTCACCTACTTGGAGAAGCCTTTCCTGGCCACACTAGGTGCTCCACCAGCCCCACTCAACGTCTCCTGTTGCTTCTTTCATACCCACTTACAATGAAAATATTCCAATTACATGCTAATCTGGCCCTTTTCCCTGCTATAACTTAAGGGCTAGAAACCAAAGCACCTGTCCAATCTGATCATCTTTGTATCTCCAGTGTTCAGCCCAGAGTAGCCACTCAAATGTTTGACTAAATGAAGGAGGAATAGAGAGAATTCATTGTTCTACCACATATCTTACCCTGTACCTAGACTGAGTAAAATACTTATGATTGTTGAAACTGAGTGTTAGGCATCCGAGTTTATTTTACTCAATCTTTGGGGTGTGTGTGTGTGTGTGTGTATGTGTGTGTGTGTGTGTGTGTGTGAAATTTTAGTTTTGTGTGTGCACAGATTTTTGGGGGGGTCAAACATGCCATGGTGCACACGTGGAGGTCAGAGGACAACTTTTATGGTGCCAGTTCTCTCCTTCCACCTTTATGTGGGATCCAGAGATCACACTCAGGTCACCAGGCTTGTGTGTCAGGTACCTTTATCCACTGACTCATCCCACCAGCCCTGTGTCAAAACTTCAATAAAGATTTAAAAAACAAAATTAAGTGTAGTGACACAGTGAGTTCTAGGCCATCCTAAGACATACAATGAAAATGTGCCCCCTCCCCAAAAAACCCCACAAAACAGGATAACAAGATATCTCAGTAAGCTGTCTTCTGACCACACAACATCATGGCATGCATAACCCACACACATACAGACATATCACACAACAGACAAAATAAATTTATAATACAAATAAATGCTTTAAAAATAAAACCATAGCTGGGTGTGGTGGTGTACACCTATAGTCCCAGCACTTGGGAGACAGAGGCAGGCGGATCTCTGTTAGTTCAAGGTCAGCCTGGTCTACATAGTGAGTTCCAGGACAGCTGGGGCTACAAGGAGACCCTGTCTCAAAAAGACCAAAAAATAAACAAAACCAGTGCTGGTGAGATGGCTCAGGGGGTAAGGGTACTTGCCTCTAAGCCTGAGGACCTGATTACCAGTCCCAGAACTGCCATAGAGAAGAGCATCAACTCCAGCAAGTTATCCTCGTGCCCAACACACACACACACACACACACACACACACACACACAATGTTAAAACACAATGTTATTCACCTGTTAGAACAAGCCTGAACAGCAGACTTTAACAGGGGCTCCCCTAGTGAGAGCTCTCTCCTCCCAGAAAAGAAACAAGGCAGACTGGCCACCACAGTCCTAGCCAGTGAAGCTAGACATACAGCTAAGGGAGTTCTGGTAACTTCGATGAGGAGCAGTTACAATACAATTACCCCCATGCTACTATCTCATTCAAACCCTAAAGCAAATGCTTGAGTCAGACAGATTTAAGATTCAAACCCTAACACTGGCGAACTGAGTCTCCATTTCCCCATTTGGAAAAATGAGACTACCAGCCTCGTGGTCTTATAGAACTTGTGGGACCGTAGAGCATATGAACAACAGAAGGGCACTTCAGACCATGCCAGACACACAGTAAGATGTTCAGTGTTAGCTCACTCACTCCTAGTCAGCCAGGCTGGATCTTATCTTTATAGTCCCACGTCCTGCTAAGCATAGCCCAGGCGTCCAATTATTTGCTACATTTTAGAGACAAAAGGCCCACAAAAAGTTCAAAAGACAGTAGCAGAAACACGTCCTTGAATCAACACCTTAGATCATGCCAAGGATGGTCCACAATGCTGGGCTGCCTCATTTTACCCCATGAAAGAAATTATCCATGAGCTCAGAATTTACTTTTAAATTCAACTTTAAGCAAGTAAATTTTGGTCTGGTCCTTCATAGTTCACCATACTTTTTTTTCCCCCTAAAATCCTTGCTCAAGGAAGCGGATTCTCTCTCTCCTCTCTCTCTCTCTCTCTCTCTCTCTCTCTCTCTCTCTCTCTCCCTCTCTCTCTCTCTCTCTCTCTCCCTCTTCCCTAAAATCCTTGTTCAAAGTGGATTGTCTCTCTCACACACACATGCATGTTTTTGTCTTTTTGAGACAGGGTCTCCCTGTCGCCCCAGCTGTTCTGGAACTATGTAGACCAGGTTGGCCTTGAACTCAAGAGATCCACCTGCCTCTGCCTCCCGAGTGCTGGGATTAAAGGTGTGTGCCACCACACCTGGCTAGAAAACCATTTTTTATTTCTATTTTTTTTATAAAGTCATAGAGCACTCAAGTATTGGTCTAGAACCCAGGGCTACAACCCACCAAGTGCATGCTGAATTTGTGCACAGGTTCCCAGATGCTGATAACTGGCCAATACTAGCTTATTGGATCTCCCAAACCAGGGAACAGGTCTCCATGACTCTCTGCAAGTATTTTCCAATCATTAACGAAAATGCTTTGCAGCCCAAGATGGAAGGGTGTTATCAAAGAGGCCAAAGGTATAGGCCCCTATGAGACAAAAACATAAGTTTCCACGTGATGGAGGGGGCAGGAAGTGTGTAGGCAGGAGGAGCTCAGGGCTTGGCTTCCTACCACGCAAAGAGCAAGGAACAATGTGCAGTGGTTGTGGTAAATGGCTTCCGGCTCCACAAAAGAACACAGAAAATAAAAATCAACTACCCCACAGAGGTTCTGGGCTGGAAGTGGGAAAATGGTAAGGATGGACCTCAGTGTGGACAGTAGCACTCAGGCCAATTCCTTCCTAAGAACTAGGGGCCACAGAGGATGAATATGGCGTTTCTTCAACACGCTGCAGCTCGTCTTTCTGTGTATATGGAATTGAATTGAGAGCCACAGAGCAGGTCAGCCAAAGCCCAGAGCACACCCATAACCTACGATGAGTCTTTTAAATGCAAGACTCCAAAAGTAATCTACAGTGTTTGGGCCTATTACAAATGGTAAAAACACACACCAAAGATGAGTTTGCCACTGATCTCAAGCTTGGGAAAAATCACCACCTCTGGGAAAACCACAAAGCTGCTATGTGGGAACTCAGTATCTGTCTCATGTGGCTCAAGATCACTGTGAGAAATTTAAACATGCATGTTCAAGATTACTGAGTGTCTTCCTTGACAAAGTTATTGCTGTTGTTCTCAGGTGACTCATTTTCTTGAAATCTGAATACTTTTCTTACTTGAAATAGCTATTTATCCTAGCTAAAAACTATCCAGATGTCTGGGCCTAAGCTTCCAAACACACTGAACTGCTTAATCGTCTTATCTAATTTACCCTCAGGAGTGGTTAGCCACGGGCCCCAGGCCACTGGTTGCAGTGGAACTGCATCATTGCCATCCATTCTTGAAAGCTTGCCGACTACTAAAACAGCATTCTCAGGCGTGAGTATGTACGTTAGGAGAGCTAATAAAAAACAAGAGGCTCAAGCTTTTCAAGTTCCCGAGTAATTGCAAGATACAGTCAAAGCTGAAACCACCGCTCCAGATCAGTGCTTCCCAACTTCAGTGTGCACACCAGTCACCTGGGACCTTGTTAAAATGAGGCTCTACTTCTGTAGTTTCGGGGAAGGCCTGGGAGTCTCCTTTTCAAAGAAGCATCTAGGTGATGTCAACCCTGTTAATCAGTGACTACACTTTAAGAGCAAAGAAATTTTCCCCATTTGGCAGCATATACAAATAACCTGAGTAGCTACAGATCACCCCAAAGATTTCATTGGTCTGATGTGACCCAGGCAATGGGATTTTGAAGTCCCCGGCCACGCTAATGTGCAGCCACACTGGAGAATCTGGAGCAAACCTCCTCTGAGTACTCAGCTACAGTGGAGCTCAACCCGGCTTGTTTCCACATATGGCAAATCCACTGTACGTGAGCTGGAGGCAGAGCTGCACATGACACACAAGTGCTGGGATTTCAGCCAGTGGACCTACATTCTACCCAAGCTTTGCTGTGTGCTGACTGTGAGCTTTGGTGTTTTATTTAGATGTGTGATCTTAAGGCACAGATCTGAGCTTCATTTTCTTCACCTATTTAATGAACTGGAACCCCTGATGTAAACTGCAAGAATAAAACAAGAGGATTTGTGAAGGGACTTTGGAGACACCACAAGAGAGCGAGACAAAGAGGGAGACTTGGCTCACACGCCTAAGGGATGCACATTTCACTTTTCACCAGAGCACTAGAAACAAATGTAAATGTGAAAGCACATGTGCTGTTTCTAGGAGCAATTAATGGCTCGATTCCAGACAGCTTAGTAAAGGGTAAGCGACCTAGTAAAAGACACAGGACTGCCATTACCTAGGGCTGTCAGCACTCCTTGGTCACTAACTTATAATACACTTAATGAAAACAAAGATGTAGGTTCACAGTTGCAAGTTACAAGCTCATAAAGAGCTTATTAGCATACAGAACTGAAGGAGGAGAATGGATCTTTTATACCAATAAGTTAAAAAAAAAAATTAAAAGCATCGAGAAGAGCGACATAGAAACTTCTTTATTTTGGAAAAAGGTTACACTTGCTGGACGGCTGAGCTCCTGTTAACACACACTGGTTGCAAAGCTGGTCTGACAGAGTGAAGGACGTTCTCTGGACTCTCCACGGCACACCTACTCAGAGTCACAGTTAAGCACAAATCTGAAGAATCGACATATCCAACAAGCTGCCATCTCAAGAATTTTCACCCAAGCACACCAAAAGTGAACCTGAAAGAAAGAAGCAGAAAGGTCAAATGTCAGGTCCCAAATTTCTCCATCAAAACTTCAACCCATCAGACAGCTACAGGACTCCTAAACTCAGGGCAACATTTAGGCCAGGCTAGAATAACCGGAATGAGGCAAATATTTTTCATGGAATATTTTATGGGAGTAATGTCTCTAAAATTAATGTTCACACCTAAATGCCAAGCTCAGCAAGGCCAAGACCGACAAGGAACTGGGAAAGATGGCATCTCACTGGAGTCTATGGTTAATTCCACCATAACTCTACATCAGTCCTAAGCCTACATCAGCCCCCTTTCTGGCTCCAAAATTCCTTGTGATGAGGGGGTTACAGTTCTATCAAAAAGCTATTTTTGGATCTAGAATAGTTAGAATAGAAAGCACAAATTTCCAGTTCAGAAAATAACTCAAAAAAGTAGAGAAAAACTGTCACTCTCCCAGAAAGATTCAGGTTCCTACCCGGAACCTGGCAGAAGGCTTCCCACCCAGTGAACTCTGCCATGGTATGGCCAAAATCTGACAACCTGATCGTATGGGCTCCAATTTTCCCACAGTGTGCCATAAAAACTGTAATCTTCTATATATGCCATAGCTTAAAGAGGGTTTGGAAATGCCTTTCAGAAGACTGGGCTTCCTGCCCCAGTGAAGAAAAGTGAACCATCCTGATTTGGTATATTAGTTTACGTGACCTAGAAATTCTAGCATCAGGGCTTTAAGGGATAGATTTTAGACCTCGAGCCAGAATACTTCCAAAGAAAAGCTATGTAATTGCAACACAGTCGTGTTATCACTGGAATTATAAGATAATATAAAAGGGTAAAAACTAGCAAAAATGTTAAAACAAAGAGGACCATTAAAATGACAAGGCTGGCCTTGAACTCAGAGATCCACCTGTCTCTGCCTCCCAAGTGCTGGGATCAAAGGTGTGTGCACCCCCACATCCAGCCTGTCAAAATTTTTAGAGCAAACTCTCTGGCCACAGACTATGAGCCAATATAACATAGTTCTAATGGTCATCCAAATAGTAGAAAAACCTAAAGGCCATTTCAGTAAACAAAGCCTGATACACTTACAATTATGAAAGTTCTTCTTTAATATAGAATTTTCCAGATTTTATGATATTAAAATTCTTAAATCTAAGATTCTAAGCCCAGTCCATGTGGAGAGAAAGGGGGCTCATGAAAATAAATCTCTTTGATAACAGTCCTCAGAAAATCCTATTCACAAAGATCACCTCCCTTTTTTTAACAGCGAAGATGTACTTAGCAGATTGATACTCTAAGTCTTGGGATTTTTCAAATAGCTCACCCAAACTGGGCCCACTGAACAACTCAAAAATAGTTTCAACTGCTAACCAGAAGAAAGGTTTTCAAAAATTGACTAATAAGATCTCCACCTGATACTAAGACGTGCAAAATGGAGACACCTACTGAGAAAAGGCAATAGGACTTCTTCTGTCTCTTTCACCCAGGTGAACAAAGCAGTGCCATTTGATCAGCCTGTTCTGATAATCTTAAAAGAAAGCAAGGTAAAACACAAAGACTTTACACAGAAAGAACCACTTTCTGCATAGCAGGAACTGATAATGGCAGGCAGGGTGGAACGTGTACTTTCCAGCACCACCTCTATTCAGACGCTGGACAGTTATGATCAAATACTGAGTTTCCTTCAAATCCATCTAGTCCTAGATTTTGATCACCTAATTAAAACTGAAATAGGAGGTGCTGTCAATCAAAGACCACCGTGCAAAAATTCCAAGCTCAATATGAATCACTATAATGTGACAAGGCATGGATCATATACTTCTAAAAATGAAAGGCATCCCAGAAACTAACTAGGCGAATCCTCTCATTTTAGAAATGATGACACTATAACCTGAAAGCTGGAAAATTTATCCAGAGCCATGACGTCCAACCCAACAACCTGTAGCTATACAGGATCATGTAAATTTAGTTAAAATCACATGAAACTGAGGGCTGGGGGTGTAGTTTAGTTGGCAGAGTGCTTACATAGCATGCATGAAGCCCTGGGTTTGATCTCCAGCACCACATAAAACCATGCCACATGCCTATAATCCCAGCACTTGGAAAGTGTAGGCAGGAGGATCAGAAGTTCGAGGTTCTTCCATACCAAGTTCAAGGCCAGCCAAGGATTCATGTGACCCTATCTTTAAAAAAAAAATAAAAACAAAAAACATATTTCAGTTCCTCAGTTGCCGAGTCACATTTCAAGTATCCAACCACCAATATCAATCACGTGACTAGTGGCTACTGTACTGAGTGGTGCAGACTTAGACTATTTCCAAACTGGAGAAGAAAGTGCTGATGTAGGGTCACTCTCACTACAGGAAGTCTCCTGATTACAGTCTCCTACAGCTCTCCTGGACCACATTAAGGATGCACGACTTTGCAGAAACACTTGAAATTATTGGTCTTCACCCTTTCTTACGAACTCTTAAATTTTCCCATTTAAAAAAGAAAGCTTAACATATTTAATAAAAATCTCCTAAGAGGAAAATCCATATGTATATATCATTCAAAGTTCTTGAACAAACTAGCAATGAATATAAAGGTTAGGATTCAAATGTATACTACTAAGTGCCCACTCAAGTCGCTTCCTAATAAGGACTAGATACGTCAACTTAAAATTCACCAAGGTTTAATTACCTCAGGTGGGAAGCAGGAATATTACTCTGCACCCCCAACACAGAGTCAGTGGTATAAAGTAGGCATATTGTAGGGAAAGGTACATGTGGAAGGTCAGGGGAAGCCTGAAAATTTGGTATCATGATACTATAAAACATCTTATAAACGGTCAAATTTGTAAAGGTCTTATACAAACACTATGCATTTTGTTATGAACAATCATACTTCAAATGTTCCACCTGCAGTGACCAGACAGCGAGAAAACGGACAAAAAGCAACAGCTGGAGAAAAAAACCAAAGCCTAATCGAGGATCCACAAAACACAGCGACCATCATAAATTCCATTAATGAAACGTTAACAGCAACAAGGAGCTTCAGTGACTAGCGAGGCCAAGCCCCTCACTGTATAGATAGGGAAACTAGGCAGGAGCACACTTCCTCGTCCATTCGGCTAACAGAACGAAGCATAGGCCTTCCCACTGGTCGCCAGCTCCCACACCACATGGCCTCTCAGCAATCTCCTTGGCCTTTGTCTTCCACACCTCATAGGATCCAGGTAACTAGTGCTGTTGCTATTTTTCCTGCAGCTGAAATGATTTCAACACCCATTCCACAAATGCGCACTGTGACTTGAGCCCTGTGGTAAGCACTAAGGTCCGTACCCTCAGGAGCTTGGTAGTCCAGTGGGGGACAGGAACCAAGTGAACCATTTCAAAGCAGTATAGCAAATGCAGCATGTGAGAGGTGGGGGCTAAGCAACTGGTGTGGGCACTTAATGTTCATTTGGACCCTAGATCTTTCTCTATGTTCACTATGGATCTGAGCACTGAGACCAACTGGTTCAGCCACTGATTAAAAAAGTCATCAATTAATGTGTTTTAGCAAACATAAATGAAAACAGCAGCTCTGAAACTGGCAAGACAGGGAAGCCCTGTGAAATCTAAGGGTTTATGTCCCCATGTCTTGCCTGAGTAACAGACCCTGGGGTCACGCTGGGGCCCCAGACCCTCTTGTTCCTAGCTCAGCACTGCCCACTTCTGGTCAGGATGCGAAGCAACCTCTGACCCAGCATTTACCCACCTAAGCCTCTGCTGCCCTCCTACGACTAGAAAGAAACTAGTTTTATCACCAAGATGAGTGGTTTCTTCACCAAAACACAACTCCTCCTAGAGGACACGTACGGTCCACTAGGTGGCAGCAGAGCTTAGAGAGTAAGCTTAGGGCCAGCAGGGCGCCCGTGCTGAGGGCAATGGTCCCACATCCATGGCGGTCTAGGCAACACTAACTGGACTCCGTGGGTCACACATACACACAAAAATTTAGTGAAATTCTCAAAAAAAATTAAAAACTGATTAAATAAATAATTTTAAAAGACAAAGACATGAAGATGGGAGGGGAATGTGTTGGGGGAGTGGAAGGAGGAATGGGAGAGCAGTGGACAGACTCAAGATCCACTGTACACATGAATGAAATTGTTAGAGTAACAAACTTTTTAAGCTCCAGAGCCAGTGAGATGCCCTGGACACAACAGTGCTTGCCACCAAGCCTTACAACCAGAGCTCCACCTCCATGACCCAAGGGAACCAACATCTGCAGGTTGTCCTGCCCTCCACGTGTGCTGTAGTATGTGTGCCAAAACACACACACATGCACACGTGTAAAATGAAAAAGAAACCCGAAATACACTGACATCTTATGAAAAGAATCTCAAACAGAAAAAAAGCAAATCAGAATAACTACACAAGTCTATGAATTTGTTTTTAGATTTGTGTGTTTGTGTTTGTATGTATGCACGTGGGGTCATGCCAGCAGAGGCCTTAGGAAAAAGCTGACAGATCCCTGAAGCTAGAGTGAAAGGAGTTGTCAGCTGTTGCACACGGGTGCTGAAACTGAATTTACATCCTCTGAAAGGAAGCAAGTGCCCTTAACCACTGCATCATCTCTCCAGCCCCTGTACACTGTTAACAACTCAAACCTACTTTGTCTCTGTGTCATGCACGTATGGAAAAACGTACTGCTGCCTAAGCACCAAAAACTAATCCTCAGGCATGCGTGCATTCCAGGGGCTCCAAAGCACAGCAGGAATTTCCAGTTATATATTTTCATTCTTAAGAGACTCTACAAAACATTAAGCCTACAATATAACCAGCATTGCCATCCAGCATAAAGCAGTTAGAGCAGCTGCTACATGGGGTTCCCAGACTGCCATCTTTGGACATGTTTTCAGGAGACCACAGAGCCTCATGTTTGGAAGAGGCTGTGTCAAGCAGATCTCTTTATTACGGGGTCAGCCCTGCCTAAGCAGAACTGTCATGGAATTAAGTCTTACCAGAAATGACCTGGGGGTGCAGAAGCGTTCAAAGGGAACTTCAGTTGACCCTAAAATGTTTAATCTGTTCAAAATCCATCAATTCTACAATAAAGGGGTGTTTGTGTTATTAGCCATTACTTTTCTAAGTTTTCACACAAAAGAAAGGAAAGGAATCTTGTGAGGACAGAGAGCAAATAAGTAAAACAAAATTTTTTGTTTGTAGCTGGGCATGGTGGCACAGACCTTTAATCCCAGCACTCGGGAGGCAGAGGCAGGCGGATCTCTGTGAGACTGAGGCCAGCCTGGTCAACACAGTGAGTTCCAGGACAGCTGGGCCTACAGGGAGACCCTGTCTCAAAAAAAACAACAAAAAATTTTGTCTGCTTTTCCTTTTTGTCTGTATGTTTGTTTTTTAAAAAATACTTGTTATTTTCATTTTAGTGTATAAGTATATTGTGTACATGTGTGTAAGTGCACCTGCAGAGGTCAGAAGAAGGTACTGGACTCCAAGAAGGTACTGGACTCCCCTGGAACTAGAGTTAGAGACAGTTATCAGCCACCACGTGGATGCTGGGAATAGAACCTGGGTCCTCTGCAAGAGCAGCCAGAGCTCTTAACAGCCTAGCCATCCCTCCAGCCCCAGGACTGCTTGTTTGGAGACAAAGTTCTGCTAAGTAGTCCAAGCTGGCCTCAAACTTGTAATTTTCCTGCCTCATCCTCCAGAGTGCTGAGCTGATAGACATGTGTGGTCACACTTTTTAAGCGCATGTCTTTTTTTAAGTGCATTCTTTAACTCTGCAATTAACAAACATTACAGATGTACACAGTAAACAATCCTGGAAAAACTGAGGTATAGAAACTGTTCTTTTTGGAATCAGACTAGATTATTACTTCTGGTTCTAGATCTCTGCGTGGCTGTATACACTTGTCATCGCAGGACTTGGGAGACAGAGGCAGGAGGTAGGGCACAAGTCACCCTTCACTACATTCTGAATTTGAAGCAAGCTTGGACCACATGGGACCTTGTCTCAAAACAAAAACAAAGGATTTCCTGTAAAGTTTTCTGAATCTCTCAGGACTTGATCTATAAAATGGGAACAGCAAGCTTATCTTTTCGTTATTTGAAAATAAAATATTGAACAAGAAACACGCAAAACACCCAGTTAGCACTGTTAGCTTTCTTACCACCTGTAAACTGTACAGGTCTTTTAGCTCTGCTGTTTTCCTTTGATCTGCACCGCTGCTGGTTTTAAGTCACACCCTCAGAATCATACAAAATTACATTTTAATACTCAACTCTCAATCAGAAAATAAGGATGACGTTAGGAAGCAACATGAGATAGAGCTCAGGCACCCTACCCTCTAACCCATAGATATGAATAGGGAACAGAGTCCACACTGACATAAAGGGCTTCACCAAAGCACTGAGGTTTTATCTGTGCTCTACTTTGTCATCTGCCTTGTGAGTTAGTATAAATACTGAGAACTCACTTGGAAACTACTGTTAACATGTTTTGGCACAGTAAAAATATAGCTGAACTAAAACCATATAATGGGGTAAATAAACATATATTAACAAAACTGAGCATAGGCCAGCGTAGGCTATGTCGAGTGAAGGAACAGGCTGGCAGCTCCCTGAGAAGAGCATTTCATTTTACCTTCTGTAAAATGATTTAACACTGCAATCTGGGATTGAAGATTCTGCTATATGCTGAGCCCGTACTTCCCAACTGAGCAGGTGGCCTCGGCTGTTAATATGCTCTGCAGCACAGTTTCTGCTGAGCCTGCTTTTTTGTCTGTTTTGCCATAATTTGGAAATACTAAGTTCTTTGCAGCTAAGCCCTCTTCCAATCATGACAGCACTAAGGAAATAATCTTCCAAGATATGGTATCTTCCTGAGCCTCAGAAGAACACTGCTGAAATGTGCTCTGTCCCCTTCCTAAGTACACTGTGACTCATCTAGAAAAAACCTTCACAACCCTACAATGAGCCAATGAGAAGAAGATTTACAACTTTTCCAACAGTTTTTGCAGAAGCCTCAGTCACTCCCACTATGTGGAAGCCCGAGAAGGTCAACACTGGAGGCTGGTTCCCAGCTACACTCAAGGTATCCCATGGTAACAGCTGTAAGTGGTCAGAGCTGTTATCCACTGGCCACAATACTCACTTGCATCTCAGTCTCTCACAGCACTTTGTTCTGATGTCTGGTAACACTCTAACCGTGCTGCATTTTAACTGTATCTTTATGGGTCTTCTACTTACTTGAAACAGTCTCATAGGGCCCAGGCTGGCCTCCAACTCACTATGCAGATAAGGATGAACTTGAACTTCTGATTCTTGCCTCCATCTCCCAAGTGCTAGAATGACAGGCGTGCACCAGCATGCCTGGTTTATACAGTGCTGGGGATCAAACCCAGGACTTCGTGCATGTTAGGCAAGCACTCTACCAGCTAAATACATCCCAGCCTTGGTTTTTTGTTGTTTTTTTATTTTTGAGACAAGACCTCATTAATTAGACTGTTCACTTTTAAAGGCAAGGGCCACATTTTACTATTCTCTGTATTCCCAGTAACAAGGCTGGGGTGAGAGAGGGCAGGGCACAGATCAGGAAGACAGTCCACGTCTCACTCGGGTCTCCAAGGTCTAAAACTGTATTAGGATGGAAAAATGAATGGTTCTCAAGGTTTCTGAATGAACAAACCATTCCACCAACTTACCACTACCAAAAATGAAATTTTTACTTGAACAGACTTGCTTTAAGGCAGCATCAAAGGGAAAGATTTATGTACCATTTCAAGTGATTGATCAACTCACACCAGAAAATGAAGTGCATTCACCGTGCACTCAATGTGACACTGCCACACATACTTTGTAAACAGTCGCTCCGATTCTTGTATTTGATTTCTGATGGTTTTAGCACAAAAACAGTAATTTTCCAAGAAGTGACAGAAAGAGGTTGGTCCAGGGCCACGTTTCCCCCAAGGAGGCTATTATTCTCTAAGACTCTTCTCTTACCTCCTGGAAACTGTGCAGTGCAAAGGCCAAGAAAAGAGCACTTGCACTCACCAGCCAAGGAACTGCACAAGAACGGGGAAGAGCATCACTGGACAGGGTCACTGCAGCTGGGCGGGGCCACTGCGGCTGGGCGGGGCCACTGCGGCTGGGCGGGGCCACTGCAGCTGGAGGGGGGGCCACTGCAGCTGGGCGGGGCCACTGTGACATTCTGGGCCCATTTCCTCATAAAGTAACAGCACTGACATGCATTTTGGAAAGCATGTTCTTATCAGAGCTTTAAGACTCCACATGGGAGGGAAATGCAGGGGGTGGGAAGGGAGAAGCCGGCACGCTTCCCGTGCAGGGGCACAAAGGGAGGACGGGTTCTTTAGTTTCTATCAAAATGCCTCCAGTTCCACTTGGACTCTTCCAACAGCATTTTACACAGGAGTTGAAGGCTGAGGTGGCTTCACTGCTAAACAAGGGAGTATGGCAAATGAACCAAATGGTATCACATCTGGTTTCAAGCCTTCTCCCACATTAATCCAATTTTCCCACCTATTTAAGTTTAGCACGCATCATTTAAGCTACTCTGAATGCCTATCAGGGAAATAACAGCCCAGCATTTAATGTTAGCAGCAATCAAAACTGGAAAAACATTTAAGAACAAATCTAAAAAAAGCAAAACCTGTAGTTTATGTTTCTTCAGAAATCTTTAGGTGCACACCTGTAATCCCAGCACACTGGAGGCTAAGGTAGGAGGCTTGCAAGTATGAGGCCAGCCTCGGCTATATAGTGAGATCCTGCCTCAAAAAATAAATAAATAGGGGGCTGGAGAGATGGCTCAGCAGTTAAGAGCACTGACTGCTCTTGCAGAGGACCCGGGTTCGATTCCCAGCACCCACATGGCTGCTACAAACCATCCTTAACTCCAGTTCCAGGGGAATCTGAAGCCCTCTTCTGACCTCCGTGGCATTGCATGACACGGGTGCACTCACATACACGCAGGCAATACAAATAAATAAACTTTTTTTTTTTTAAATTTTAAATTCCAAGGTACTTTCATTAGTGAAACATTACTGCATCTTCCAGCAGAATGGGACCTGGACCAATTACAATCAGAACCCGCCTGATCCAATCTCTGCTCACATCAACAACGCAAGGGCTGTGCTCATTACTTACATTCGTGTCTCCAATTCCTCAAATAAGTAAATGAGACCAACTTAGCCAACGAAGTTCATGACAACAAGGTGCAGGATGGTGCTGGCAAAGAGGAAGTCAGCAAAAGCCCGCTCTGGGGAGATGCCTTGGAAATCCGCTTTGTTCTGTGGGTTGATCTGTATTCTCAAGCAAACTAGGTAAGAAAACAAAACACAAAAGTCAGTATCTAGAAGTATAAAACAAAGGATTGTTAAGGAATACACAAGTACATCCTGTCACGCAATAATTCCACTCTAACAAAATGAATGTGCGCATACACCAAACACATGTACATGAATGACACCTGCGACTGCCCCGGGCCAGCAACAATCTAAATGTCTACTAACAGTGCAAAGGATAAATTAAGGCATATGTAAACATAGAATACTGTATGGCGATGAAAAGGACCTTTGCTATATACAACATAGATGAATTCAGGATATGTTGGGCAACACAATCCAGACACAAAAAGCACTTGCTAAATAACTACACATACACACACACACACACACAGGCAAACATCCAGGCCATCAGCACACACCTATAGTCTCACAAGTGTGAGGTCAGCCTGGACTATAGAGACCCTATCTCAAGAGAAAGAAAAGAAAGAGAAGGAAAAAAAAAGGAAGAAAGAGAAAAAGAGAAGAAAATTAGGTACAAAAATCTAGGTAGTATACGTCAGATGGTTTCTAACTTTAATGCAAGGAGAGGTGGTAAGGCGCCTTCTATGGGATTTGATCTGGGTAGCAGTTAGGTCAGAGAATTATAAAACTCACCTCAGCCGGCCGTGGTGGCGCACGCCTTTAGTCCCAGCACTCAGGAGGCCGAGGCAGGAGGATCTCTGTGAATTCAAGGCCAGCCTGGTCTACATAATGAGTTCCAGGACAGGTGGGGCTACAGGGAGACCCTGTCTCAAAAACAAAAAAGAACTCACCCCAAACCAGGCACGGTGATACATGCCTGTAACCCAGCAGTTTTGAGGATACAAGAGGATCAGTTCAAGGTCATCTGCAACTACATGGCAAGTTCAAGGCCAAGCTGAGCTACATGGGACCCTGTCTCAAAAACCCAAGCATAAAAATAGGGCTGATGAGATGGCTCAATGAGCACAGTTTGCTAACAAAGTCTACCAACCTGAGTTTGAGCCCTGGAAGGACAGAACCAACTCCCACTGAATTGTTCTCTGACCTCCATGTGGCCCGCGTATGTGTGCACACACATGCACGCACACGCACACAAACACACACACGAAAAATGTGTGCATACATACATATGTACATCTAACCCCAAAGCCTAAGACCTCTATCTACTGATCCAAAGGCTTCTCATTATACCCAGATGGAATACAGACCCAGCAGAAACAAGCTGGGCTGAATGACAAAGCAACAAGCCATGAATCATTTTCTAGTAGAACAGTATATACACTGCAGAGAGAACAGATGCTCACTCCTCACTCATGAGGGCCTCATGGCTGTAGATAAACTATATTTGCTGAAGTTCTAGCAGTCCCTTATGTGGAACTCTCTCCATTTCATACCTGAACGTCCCTAAGAAGGCATATTACCAGTGAGTTGTCAAGGAGCTCTAGGGGAACACTTTGCTGAGACACCTTTGTGGCTGTGATAAATGGTTCCACCTGCTTCAGGCTAGCATACATTCCAGCACAAACCAAGAAAGACCCATTCAAAGGCTAGAGAGCTCTCAGTCTGCTCTCTGGAGCTCAGCCATAGGCCCAGTTTTCCTCGTGATTAAGCAAATGAGCCAAGTAAGTCCACTGATCTTTCCAGGCACACAGATCCTTCAACTTACAAAGGACAGCCACGGAAGTGAGGGGGACTCTGCACTGCAGAGTACAGATCAGCACATCTCTCTAAGATGACAAGTGGCAATACTACGGAGTATTTAAAACGCTTTTATCTTTTGACTACTGAGTCTTGTCAAGGAAACACTCTAATGACATGTTCGTAAAATTGGAGAAAACAAAACCAAACCAGTCCAAATGTCATCAAGGGGATTCATTAAACCATACTATGAACCTGCAGTGAAATTCTATGCAATCATTCAGAACAGGGTAAATTCTCTGTACAGCGAAAGTAAAGCTGCTCTACGCTTACCTTTTACCAAGTTAAAAAAAAGCCAAAAGAATTGTCACATTCCACAGCTTTTTTTTTTCATAGCTCCTTTGTTAATGTATGTGTCTGTGGTGTTGTATGTGGTATACATATGTCCATGTGTGCAAATGTGCAGAGGGTGTGTGTACATGTGCTTGTGTATGTGTGGAGGCCATCAGGGTCTTCCTCAATTGCTGTCTACCTTATTTTTTTAAGCAGAGTCTCTTCAGTGAACCTGAAGCTCATGAATTGGGCTGGAGTAGCTGGCCAATGAGCTGCAAGGAGCCACCCATCTTTGTCTGCCCCTCCCCATACTTGGGTTACAGATGTGCAGTTTGCCCAGCTTTTAAGTGAGTTCTGGGGACCTGAACCCAAGTTCTCTTTTATATAGCAATCACTTTACCAACTGAGCTATTGCCTCAAGCTCCACATTTCTGTTTAAAACTTCCAACTTCTATATAACTATTAATGTGTGTGTGTATGTGTGTTATTTTATACATTTTATCACTTCTTTTAGTAAGAATCTACCAAAAAATTCTAGAGAAATAGATACAGAACTATTACAAGTAAATGGTGTAAAGTGTGAGAGGAAGAGAAACGTGATGCTGGATAAGGTCCTGGACCCATGCTAACCTTACAATGACCACCCATCAGTCAAGTGAATTCATTAACTGTAAAACTCAGGGCCCCCACAAGGATGGAAAGCTCCTCCGAGGTCATTAGGAAGTGGCAGGATAGGGATGCTGGGGGAGGCTCCAAGGATAATCTGGGAAGTTTTCCCAAGTATACGTAACATTTCTGGGTTCTGATAAGCCACCCCAGGAAAATACAAGCCTCCAGAGCCTGCGTTACTGATAAACGTGCCACAATCCTCAGCTGCACCAGAACAAAAAAAGGCAAAGAAATTTGCCTGCTCAAAAAGCTCCACCAATGGGACCTTCAGCACTGAGCACTCCCAAAGATGGGAATTTACTACTCCCTCCCTCCTAGGACAGCCAGCTCCCCTTTAGCAGTTCTAATTTAATCTAAGTCCTTAAATGCTCACTTGTTCAGCAAAATACTTGCTGAGCATCTACTACAAGGTATCATTCCAGGCACTGGGAATATGGCACAGAACACTCTTACGTGTTACAAATTATAACTCAGCCAATAAACAAGGAAATTCTGGGCAGTGATGTATGCTATGTAGAAAATAAAACCAAATAAAAATACTGATTAGAAAGGTATTTTTTTATCCAGTAGTCATTTTTCAAAAAATACTGCTTAAGCCGGGTGTGGTGGCACATGCCTTTGATCCCTGCAGAGGCAGGCAGATCTCTGTGAGTTCAAGGTCAGCCTGGTCCACACAGTGAGTTCCAGGCTAGCTGGAGCTACAGGAAGACCCTGTCTCAAAAAGACCAATAATAATAAAAATAAAAATAAAAATACTGCTTAAGATCAGTATCTGGGCATAGAGCAATCAAGATAGTTTTATAAAAAGTCTTGATATGTCTTAGGATTAACACTGGACTATCCAGATATCAGTGATCGCAGAAGACAAACCCCAGAGGCTGTCTGTGTAAGCTAGGAAGAGCGTTTGGAGGCAATGTTCTCAGAGCAATGAAACAGCAACTCAAGGCTTTAAGTCGCTGAGTGACAAACATAACTAACATGTTTAAGGCTGCTAGAACAGCAATGTGTTTAGGACTAAAGATAACTACTTGGGGACCAAAGAGCTCAGGGTTAAGGTAGGAAGAATGGACAGATGCAAGGTACATTTTGGAGAAGACAAAGCTTGCAGATAGAACGGATATGGGAGCTAAAAGAAATTACGGGGTCAGGGAGACCACCTAGATATCAGAGTTGATGGCAGGCAAGGAAAGCTCCTTTGGGGACACAGAAATGGGAACGAGAGAGCAGACATCAAGCAGAGAGGGCAAGTCAGGAACTGGATTTACTAATTTACAACTCAGGAGACAGGGCCAAACTAAAAGTGTAAGTAGCATGTGGAAATGCAAAATGAAGGCATGGGGCCATGCTCAGGCCGAGAAGGCCCAGCACAGTGGGGGGGCAGCCAGCAGGTGAGAAGGAAATGAGACCATCGGAAGCACTAAGAACCCAGTACTCTACTCAGGAGGGAGCAGCACACAGGGTTCAACGCCAAGTGCTGCTGAGCAGTCAGACAAGGTAAGCAAATGACCACTGATCTGACAACAGGCCATATGTCATCTGAGGAAATGGTGGGGATAGATCACCACCTTGAGCACCTTGAGGAGTAAATGGAAATAAAGCCCAAATAGAAACTATTCTTTCAAGAACGTCTATGATGGTGAAGAAATAGATGGTTGCTAAGGAGTGTCTGGGGTCAAACGAATTTTTTTTAACTAAGACCATACTAGGGCACGTTCGAAAGATGAGGGTGATCCAACAGAGATGAAGAGGCAAGGATAGCTCCAGGAACGTAGCCGCTCGGCCAGCAAGAGAAGACAGGTTCCTGTGAACAGGTGAAAGAGCTGGCCGCGACATGAAAGGGGTACAGCACAAGGAAGTGGGAAGAAGTCAGACAGTATGGATACAGGAGCACGCAGTCATGCCTGGCTTTTTAAATGGATGCTGGGGATTTGAACTCAGATCCTCATGCTTACACAGCAAGCACTCTAACCCACTGAACCACTTTTTTTTTTTTACGTGTATGAATGCTTTGTCTGAAGTATACCTGTGTTGAGCAAACCTGCAGAAGCCAGAAGAGGGTGTTTTAGATCCCCCAGAACTGGAATTACAAACTATTGTTGGCTGCCATGTGGGTGCTGGGAACCAGGCATGCATCCTCTAGAAGAGCAGCCAGCGCTCTAACTGCTGAGCCATCTCTCCAGCCCCTACTGACCAAAACTGTATTTTCCAAAAAGGCAAAAACTTGTTTCACAGGTTAGGAAACAGAATAGACTGAAGTTGAAAAGTGACTTAAAACTGGGTTCACAGGCTACGGGCATAGTTGGCTGGTAGGGTACTTGCCTAGTAAGACTTAACGAGACTTATTTTAAGGACAGACTTACTATTTTCCACTTATCCTCTCTAAATAGTACTTGAAATGAGCAGATTTCAGTTAGGTGAAGAGGGAAATGGAAACGAATGCCGGCACTGGAAAAAGGGACAGCTGTCCTCTGCTAGTGACAGCCAACTCTAAGATAAAGTCAGCTGATGAGATGTGTGAAATGTGGAAGAAAACAATTCTCCCTCCAAGGTCCTTTAAAACCTTCTATACCACACTGCTGAGCACCCCGTCTCCTGTGGCAATTTTCTACCTCAAGCTTCTTCTCAAGACCACGGTGAGCCTCTCAGCCTCAAGGAACAGAAGAGAGCATCTACAGCATTAGGCCAGATAACCAGCTTTAAGTCTGACAACAGCTAGGACTCAGCAGTTAATAGCATGGTTGCTCTTGCAGAGGAGTGGGGGTTCAGTTCCCAGCACCCACGTGGTGGCTAACAACCATCCCTAGCTCCAGTTCCAGAGGGCCCAACACCCTCTTCTGGGTTCCATGGGCACTGCACACACGTGGTGCACTGACACACAGGCAAAACACTCATACACATAAAATAAAAATAAGTAAATAATTTTTCTAAGTTTAATAGTAGCATTCTAAATTGATTTAAAATGTACTGACCAATGTGCAAAGACCATTGACGTATTCAAAGGAATAACCTGCCAGAAAGAACGATGAGACTCAGGCCAGAGGACTTCCATGCTGCTTGGAATGAGAATGCTCCCCACAGGCTCAAATACTTGAAGACTTGGTCCCCAGCTGGTGGCACTGTTTGGAGAGATGTAGGAGGTGCAGCCTTGCTGGAGGAAGTACATCACTGGAGGTGGGCTGTGAGGGTTCTAAAGCCTCGCCCCACTTCTGTTGCCACTGAAGAGGCCATCTGTCAGCTTCCTGCTCCTGCTGCCATGCCTGCCACTTGCCGCCATGCCTCCCCACTCTTACCACTCTGGAACCGTAAGCCAAAATAAACATTTTCGTCTGTACGTCACTTTTGGTCATGGTGCTTTATCACAGCACACTCCTCCAATTCATCCTATGCCAATTTTCACTCTACTTTTTTCTTCCAAAACAAAGTACCATGTTGCTGTTGTGGTTGGTTTTTGTTTTAATTTTTATTTATTATTATTTATCTTGTGTATGTGTGTGAGAGCACATGTGATGGTCAGGGGGCAATTTGCTGAAGGGGGTCTCAGGGATCCTTCTCAGAACCTCAGACTTGGTGGCAAGTGCCTTTACCCACTGAGCCATCTTGCTGACCCATGTTTAATTCTCAGATGATCTATTGCCTATAGCAATAGGCCTGCCACTCAAAACTCTAACATTCAGGACCACCTCATCCTCCAAAATCCTCCAACATAATTTCCTACAATCTCTTCTCCATCAAGCTGGCCCCCTCTGCTCTCTTCCAATAAAAATCATCACAAAGAGGCTGGAGAGATGGCTCAACGGTTAAGAGCACTGACTGCTCTTACAGAGGACCCAGGTTCAATTCCCAGCACCCACATGGCTGCTACAAACCATCCTTAACTCCAGTTCCAGGGGAATCTGAAGCCCTCTTCTGACCTCCAGTTCCAGGGGAATCTGAAGCCCTCTTCTGACCTCCGCGGCATTGCACGACACGGGTGCACTCACATACATGCAGGCGATACACTCATACACATAAAATAAATACAATAAAAGATAAAAAAAACATCACAGAAAAGTCAAACTCTAGTACCACAAACAGGTATACTAGTTCTTAATTACAGGTAATATGTTCTCAATAATTTGAATAGAGGCTAAGCACCCAAATTTCAAATTTTCCATTAAAACCAGTTTCCAGGTGATGATCTAGGCTAGCACAAGAGGCAGAATTTGGTAAACTTAATACGTCCAAAGAAATATGCAGCCAGGCATGATGGTGCATGCCTTTAATTCCAGGACTCTGGAGGCAGAGACAGGCAGATCTCCGAGTTTCAGACCAGCCTGGTCTATGAGTGAGTTCCAGACCAGCCAGGGCTGCATAGTGAGACTGTCTCAAAAACAACAACAGAAACATGGGATTTAGGGACTTAGTTCAGTTGTAAAATGCCTTTGAGTTGGTGGTAAATAGGTGTTAAGTAAATGATAGCTTTCTGTGGCAACAATGAATTGTCATGAATCCCCTTCACTAGAAGCCAGTCTTAACTTACTACTTGCTATCTAAAAGATTTGAAAATGGGGGAGGGGGGGATCCCCAGACCCTTAGCCAGCCAGTCTAGCCAATCAGTGAGCTTGGGGCTTAATGAGAAACCCTGTCTCCAAAAACTAAATCAAAAGGTGTTGAACATTAGAGGAAAATGTCAGACATTTATGTGTGGTCTCCACATGTGCATGCACGCACACATGCACACACACAAACATGCATTCACACTTCACACATACACTACACACAAAAGCACGCAAAAAAATTAATATATATTAAAAAAAAAAAAACAGTACTTAGCCAGACGTGATGGCAGGCGGACCTCTGTGAGGCTGAGGCCAACCTGGTCTACACAGCGAGTTCCAGACCAGCTGGGGTCCAAGGAGACCCTGTCTCAAAAAACTAAAAACTAAAAATAAATTTAAAAAACAAAGTCGATCAACTTTAAACTTGTTTAAGCTACATGCAAGTTGGAATGGGGTTTTCCATAGATCACTAAGCAGTGCCGTGGGTCACCGAGAGCCAAGAGGCTCTGCTTACTAATTCCAGCTCCGGAGCCCCAATTTCCTGGATCCCAAGGAAAGATCCCTGCAGACCACGTAACTTCGAGGCCGGCTGCAAAGTACCGACCGGGCCGTGACGGCCGAGCAGACGACTAGCAGAGCACTAGAGCATTACCCGCCAGGATGAAGCTGCCCACGCAGGAGATGAAGCCGGACAGGAAGGAATTGAAGGGGAAGGTCCCCACCAGGAGACAGTAACCGAACTGCAGCGCGCCGGTCAACAGGATGTAAAGGAGATAGGCGTCCAGCAGCTTCAGCCGCTGCGGAGTGGAGCTCAAGTACTCTTCGAGGAACCGCGAGATGACGGACACCACCGACGCCGACATGATGCACGCTGGATGCCGGCCGCTCCCTCGAACCCCGGACCTGACGAACCCGAGGGCCACGGCGGACGGCGGTCTGCGCGTGCGCGCCGGTGTGGCCTAGCCACGCCCACCAACCCCCGTGTCCCGATTGCGCATGCGTACATACCGGCCGAGGCGCGTCACAACTACTGCGCAAACGCAGACGGCATCCACAGGCCACGAACTACAGCCGGAAATAAGCTAATGCGTCTGCGCATGGGCTCTGTTACTGCTAGAGAGACGTGTACTCGCCTTACTTCCGCCTTCCCGGATGGCGACGCCCACTGTTGCTCAGGCGACAGGATTTGGGAACGGAAGAGAGGGAGAGGTTTAGTAGAGGACCGCGTAGCTTGCCGGAGAGTTCCGGCTGTTTTCGGTCCTCCTGCGAATCTCGATGTTGGAATCTGCTTAGAGACAAAGCTCGGCGGTCTCGGGTTCAACCACCCGGGCCGGATTCGACCTCGAGCTCTGGCTGCAGACCACTGAGCGTTAGAGCGGTTCCTCCCCAGTGCGAGCTATGCCGAGCTCTGGGCTAGCTCCAGCTTATACAGCAGGGGGAGGGAGGGGCTAACCTCTACCGGACCGGGAATTTGAAGTCCGGATCTGACCCTGCAGAAGAACCTAAGTCCTCCTCAGGTATTCATTCATTCGACAAACGTTTATTTGATACCAAGGAGGGCCAAGAACTCTGGCTTTAAGCGGTAGGGATTTCAGGTCAATCAAATACAGTCACAGCCTTCAAAGAGGAGGTAGTTGAGGAAACTCACTTGTGCAGCCATCAGGCGTCTTAAACCTGTTGTAATAGCCCCCGATGTCAGAGCAGAAACCCCTGCAGGTTCAGCCTTACCCTCTCCAAATCATTTTGTAGACTGAAGTGAAGGTTTGAGGTTTTGTATTTTATCAAGTGCAGTTAACTGTTTTTAGCGTTTTAACTTCAGAAAAAAATTAAGTTCTGGCTGTCACCGCTCTTATAATGTCACCAGAATCTAAGTCTTCTCGCACATAAGCAGGTACTTTATTTCAGCGTTTGAGTAACTGCCCTACTTAGGTACATGAGCAAAATGTCTAAAACAAGTAAACAGCATTCCCTTAGTGTCGCTTGTTATTTGCATTTAGACTGGAACACAGCATCAGCAAACAAACTGGAAAAATCATCCACGCCCTTAGGAAGCTTTGCAGTCTGTTAGAAGAGGTAAATTCAGATTCAAAACCAAGGAGATCTGCACCACTTTAAGAACTTAAATTCAGCCTAAGAGCTCTTGTGTTAATGTGAGGGGATAGGGGAGAAAGGACAAGCAGACTGGCTCCTATTCAATATGAAATGACAGCCCCAGCAGGGCCTCTGACCAGTTTAACTTTTCTCTCTGCCTCATCACAAGTGGGAAGGTAGCTTCCTCCCAGGTTTTCCACCTCAGACTTAATGGGCTAGGCTGGGGCTTTTTATGATTCAGGAGTGAATGCCTCCAGGGGTTTCTGTACCTTCCCTCTGCTCCTTCCAGCAGTTTCTTCCACATGTTTCACAGCCTTTGATCCTTGTCAGCTACCTTCATTAACATCGCCACAGGAACTCCCAGAGGAAGCAAACAGAAGAGATGAGAAAGATCAAAATCACTCCTCGAATGCATCTTTTTCTGAGACCTGCAAAGTCATACTAATATAATGAACTCAATTTTTTCTGAACTACCTAAAATAACAGAAAAGCCTTGTCCTGTGATCAGCTATGATCTTACATAACCTAGCAATAGGAAATAATCCTGGTATTGGTTTTAATCCGTATGAGTAAGAACATTAGTATGAGTAAAAATTCATGTCCAGAGTAGTAAATAAAAGTACAAATTCTAGAATCATACATGAATTTGAACTTTGGTTCTGTGTTTCTATACAGCTTCTAATTGCCTAATCCAAGACTGAGTCTTTAGTATTTAATAATGATTATTTCATTTTCTCTTCTTTTAATATGGTTTCTCTATGTAGCCTAGACTGGTCTGGAATTCACTATGTAACCTATGATGGACTCAAAACTTGCCATCCTCCTGCCTCTGCCTACCAAGTGCTGAGATTACAGGTTTGTACCTCCCTCATGCCTGGCTCTAATTTTCTTTTTTTATAGTGTGGAAATAACAATACCTGGATCGCTGCCACATTATGAGGAGTGAGATAATGTTAATCATTAAGCACTTGGCATAGAGCTTGGCACGTGGTGACCGTTCAGAAAATGTTTGCTCTTATTAACTAACAGTTCTGAAGAAGAACTATGTCTGCTTCCCCTGTTTCTTTGAATAACTAAACATTGACAGAACTTCAGAGCATTCTTGGGCATGTAAAAGATAGTCCTGCCAGGTGTGGTGGTGCATGCCTTTAATCCCAGCACTCAGGAGGCACAGGCAGGCAGATCTCTGTGAGTTCAAGGCCAGCCTGGTCTACATAGTGAGTTCCCAGGACAGCTGGGGCTACAGGGAGACCCTGTCTCAAAAAGACCAAGAAAAAAAAAAAAAAAGATGGTCCTAGGACTGCAAATCAGCCATCTAGAAAAAAGCAAACCAAACTTAAATCGGAAGTCAAAGAAGACCTTAAAGGTTTCATTACTAAAGAAGAGTGGAGGGGCAAGAGGGCTCCCATTAGGGGCCAAGTCCATTATTTTACAGCATTTCTCTCTACAGTAATAAATTGCATTCTTTACTAAAACAAACACAAATCCTCCAAAATTGAGTAGAAAAAGACTCTTGTAAAGATCTCTGTGTGGAAAAGAAGAGTCTGCTTCTTTTTGTGTGTGTGTGTTCCCTTTTGCTATACCACAGAGCTACACCTCCAGCCTTGGGTTATTTTCAAAAAGAAAATTTTTAAGGAGAATGAAATCTCAATCAGCACAAAGTCTGATTTCTGAAGTTTCAAGTTTTCTGAGAAAAGTCCTAGTCAAGCAGCCAATGTCTTCAGTGACCCTGTATCCCCTCATCCAGTCCCTCCTGTCCCACTTACAGGCTCTTTCATCTGATTTCCTTCTCCCCCAGTCCTTTGGGTATCCCGTAAAAACTTCAGTCTTGTCCCTTCCCTGGCACCAAAAAAGAATCAGCTGTATTTTCCTTTACAAGAGCATCATTTATCCTTGGAAGGGAGTTAAGAATCATTGAACTCCCTGTAACGGGACAGAAAGCATCATGCTTAAGCAACACTACAGTGTTGAAGAGAACTGTCTGTAGTGAAGGAAATGTCTGCCCATCAGTAGAAGAACAGCTGGGTGGCTACTGAGAAACTGAAAATAACTCAGAGCAAGCAAGGAAATTCACTCGATTTTTGTTCATTTAAAACTAAGGGGCTAGAGAGATGGCTCAGCAATTAAGATCATTTACTGCCCTTGCAAAGGACCTGAGTTCAGTTCCCTGTACCCACCGTCAGACAGTTTACAACCGCCCATCATAACTCTAGCTCTAGGGAATCCGACACCCCTTTGGCCTCTGTGGGTACTCACATCCATATGCACATACCCACACATACACATAATTATATCTTTTAAAAAGAAAAAACTTAAGTCACATTGATTTATCATTCTATCAGAGAACTTTGAAGCTATTTTACTCAGTACCTATGTTTAGTCTAAGACTCATACCTTGTTCATAGTTCATTCAAAAGTTAGCAACACCCATTTGAAATCAAAGAATGATCTATTCCCGGTAGACCTGAGCTATATCAGCTTATCAGCTCCACCTATTACTTTTGGAATATTTAATGATTACTTACAGGCACAGGAAAAATGGTTTGACAAATTAGTTTTCATTCACAAAACTATATTAATAGCACATAAAATACATCTTGAAGACAAGAGGATATGGTCTTCCATTTGTGTGCATGTATCTTCTCTTAACAATAAGGAAGGAAAGATAAATTTTCTCCCCAGAGGCCTGTCTATAGTAGGTACCAAGAGCTGGTTCCATTGTGTATAATTCTAGCAGATCCCAGCCCAATCCTGAGTTCTGGGACTACCTTAAGGGTAACTTTGGTCACAAGGCATTTTCCATATATTTGAATTTCCTGCTTCCAAGCAACTATATTAAATCTGGTTTGTCACACGTGGAGACAAAGTACAGATGCTGTGCACTACCTCCTGAGATGTGTTCTAGAATTTAGAGGCCTTATACCAGTTCCACCTCATTTCTTGCCTCAGAAAGTCCTACATTTTATAATTTTCAGAAAAGCAGGAAATTTTGTTATCCTGTTGAGACACCCCAGAATTTTCTAGATAGTGCAGCTTTGATTACAGCTCTCAAAATCCTTCTTAGCACACAGTTCATCATTTTAGAAGTAACTTTATGCTTCTGCTTACTAGACTTTTATCCATCCATTTATCAGGTACTGAGCACCTACTCTTGCCACATCTATGAGCCACACCTGCCATAAGTGCCAGGAGCACCCCAGAGAACTAAGTAGGCAAGGCTCCCCCGAAAACCTAGTCCCTAGTAGAGGGAAACAGACAATAGTAAACAAATAGGCAAGATACTTTCAAACAGTGGTTACATGAATGGAGATTAAAATGAGGTAATACAGCTGGGCGTGGTGGTGCACACCTTTAAGCCCAGCACTCAGGAGGCAAAGGCAGGCAAATCTCTGAGTTCAAGGCAAGCCTGGTCTGCATAGTGAGTTCCAGGCCAGGCTGGGTCTATAGGGAGGCCTTATCTCAAAAAAAAGGCGGGGGAGGAGCAGTATGATAGTGATGGAGGTCTCTTTTAGAAAAAGGGATTTTTAAAAATATTTTTATGTGTATGAGTGTATAGCCTGCATGTATGTGAGTGCACCCATGTCGTGAAATGCCATGGAAGTCAGAAGAGGGCTTTGGATTCCCCTGGAACTGGAGTTAAGGATGGTTTGTAGCTTCCATGTGGGTGCTGGGAATCGAACCCAGGTCCTCTGCAAGAGCAGTCAGTGCTCTTAACCGCTGAGCCATCTCTCCAGCCCCAAAAGGGATGTTTTGACCTAAGCTCTGACTAGTTGCCAGCTCTCCAAAGCCAACCTAGGAAAGTCTATATGGACCACTAATACAGGTTATTTCTTCTTTTTGGTAATTGGATTCTTTGTACCCAACGTAATGCTTGGCTTTGAATAATAATAAGATATAACCTTTTTGGAGCAAGTGTAATAACTGTTTCTTTGAATTATCTTGGTTAATTCTCATAAGCCAGAGAAAGGAAGCCAGAGACACAAAATCACTTGCCCAAGAGCAGGAAGCAGATAATTAGCAAAGCCAAGATTGAACTTAACCCAGACTCTGACCACAGACTATGCTTTTCATTAACTAATGAGTTTCATGGAGCACCAGCATCTTCAGTGCCTCCAGAAATGCACTTTTCTAGCTTCAAATCAAACCAGCTGAATTAGAATCTGAAGATAGGGATTGGGGATCTGAATTGTGGGCCAGCCGTCCCGTGATTCTTATGTACACTGAGGTTTAGGACCACTGTGCATACCGAAAGCGTGAATTGAAAGGACAGGTCTGCTGTTTGTGCTACTTCGCCCCCCCATTTATAGGCCCTAATTTCTGCAAACATATACAATCTTCCATAACTTCAGTTCCAGGGTATCCAATGTCTTCTTCTGCCCTCTGAGGGCACTGCACAGCATAGGCGCACTTACACACATGCAAGCATAGCACTCATACACATAACAAATAAGTCAAAAAAGGAAGGAAGGAAGGAAGGAAGGAAGGAAGGAAGGAAGGAAGGAAAAATACTTCGATAAATTTTTCTGCCCAGAAGTGTGGTTTTAACCTAACCAAGGGGATAATCTAAAACCAACAACAGCTCCAGGGATGTCAAAGCCCGTCAAGTGATTCTGCAGCCACATTCAAGATTTGACTACTCTGCTGAGCCAGCCCAAAACGTGCTCAGGCCTCTGGGTTAGCACTCTGCCTCCCACATCCCACACCCACATACATAAAGCAGGCCCAGCCTTGTTGGTTAGTCCTTCAACTGCCCCTTGTGTGGGAGGTGAGGTCTTCCAAGCCGAAGAAAACCAGGGTCAAGCTACATTTTCCTTGGAAACTAAATTGGGGCCAGACTCATCCCCAGAGCCAAGGAATGCCCATCTTGACAGATGTCTTCTCTGTTTAGAGTCGTAATTCAAGATGGCCCAAATTATTGCATGGATCATACTTATTCTTAAAATCGCTTTCTATGTAAAATTCGAATTTAGGCATCCTGTTTCTTGTATTCTCGGAATCTGGCAATCTTCTTGTGGTACAAGCTCCCAGGCCCTTTTGTAGGCGCAATCAATGAGGTCTCCACAGATATCTAAAGCATCTCAATTCAAGGAGCACTAAAAAGGCCGTGGAGCGGCAGGGTCCGGAGCTTTAAAAGAAGCTCAAGCATGTACGCACGCCTGGGAAGTTCTCTCACTTTACAACTGTGGGCGGAGGGTGCGGGGCCCACGGCGCTCCCTGGGGACTCTTGAGTTTTGAAACTGCCTGTGTCCCTCAGTGCTCCCCGAATGTGCGATTAGGATTAGGATCCTGCTGTGAGCCCCCCGAGTGCTCCGCCTGCTGGGAAGGCAAAGCAGGCGCGGTCTGGGGCCCGCCGGGTCGGCGTCCGCCCCGCCTCTGGCCCCGCCCCCTTTGTTACCCGACGCTTTCCTGGGTCAGCTGGTGCCGGCGTCAGGCGGAGGGATGGGCTGGCTGTGCTCGACCCGACGGGGCTTGTTTACTATGGCTGATGATCTGGAGCAGCAGTGAGTTCCTCCCGTCCCTTTCTCTGTGTCTCTCTGTCTTTCTGGGCCAGGATCCCGGGACTGTCTGTGGCTGAGGAAGTGTCAGACCTCCCCCTTTGCGTTTCAGGTTGGCTCCGGGGAGGGCTGGGGAGCGCGTTGGATGGCTTGCTTTCAGCCCAACTCCTTCCTCTCTGTCTGGCGATTGCCCTGCACCGTGCTGGGAGTTAGATTTAGTGGTGATGCGCGAGTCCTTTCCCCGTCCCCGGCATCCAGCTGGAGGGACTCGGGCGCGGGGCAGCAGCCGGCGTTTTGTCGCCACTTGCCCCCGCCGAAATGGTGGGTGGGAAAGGCTGTGAAGGAGAAGGCGTGAGAAGTCTCCACTGCGCTGGGATTGGTGTGGAGTAAGGGTTTGCAAGTTGCTTTAGCGCTCGCCCTCCTTGACAAGTTCCGCTTGCAATCCTAGTTGATAGTGCTTGTAGTTAATTAGAAAGACTGTTAATGCAGTGGTTTCAGAATTACGTTTATTAGATTGAGGGGGCGGTTGCGCTCACTCAGGGGTATCAGGTTTAGGACACCACCTGTGGGTGATGTGACTAACCATCCGTGATCCAACAGGAGCTGAGAAAAGTTGCTTGGAGGAGAATGACTCAGCTGCAAGCCAGTCCTCGGTTTCACCGGAACAGGGCCATCCCATGACCTAATATTTGTCCTTTTGGACTTGGAGAATGATTTAACTTTTTATAACAATAGTAAATAATAGCTTCCGGGGCTTGAAGGGACTGCCCAGGACATTGTTACTTTCTAAGAGGAATTTATGATGCTACAGTGACCTAAGGACTCAGCATTAGCGCCAGAAAAAGTGCAGGTCATTCAGCTCTGCTTCACAGATACAGCAGCTGGTGCCAATGCCTTAGAACTGGGAGACTTGCTCCAGATTACTGAGGTCAAGAACTGGTTCTGTTCACTCTCATCAGGATAGAAAACACCACCACAGCCAGGCCAAGTTCATGGCCAAGTGGCTTTGGCACTGCCTGCTTCACTTTCCCACCTCAGCCCTTAACTTCCCCAATAGTACTGAGCACATAGTATGACAGGCACCACCGCCTGCTGTCTACCTGGATCATTTTTGGAGAAAAGAGGCACAGTGAAGCACACCCCCCTCCCCACGTATATGCACTGCGTCTCCATAGCTTTCCTTAGGAAACTGTTTCTCCTGAGCTCTGCTGTAGGCAGTTGGGGTTCAGGTGTCATTATCTGACTTGTGACAGTCTCTGATGCAGAGAGGCTGAGTTCTGTGGTCTTGGTCCCATACTTCAGTCCAACAAGGAGTGCTGGTAGACTGTTAAAACGTCCTGAATGTCCATCCCTAGCATTAGATTGTTCGAGACTGACAGCTCTCATCTAACCAAAGCCATTGATGGGCCAACACAGGTTTTTCCTTCAAACCTCAAACTTTCATTGAGAGTAACTACTTTATAAAATAAAATCAGTGATTTAGCTGAGGGAAAAAATAATGTTTATTGGGAGTTTATCGGTGCTAAACATTATTCTGTGTTTGGATGCACTAACTCACAGTGTTTATAGAAATCCAGGGAGGTAAACGTTATCACCCCCCTTTTAAAGGTGAGAAAACTGACACCGAAAGACTAAGTAATGTGCCACAGTTACATAGCTGGTAAGCGGCCATGCTGGGATTAGAACTCCAGCCTTCTGGATTTAGATCAGACTCCCTTCAAACAAGTAAGATGCAGTTATATACCGAGAGAGTTCAAGTACCAGCGTGAGGAGCTGAGGCTAGAAGGACCACAGAGGAGATACCGAGAAACAGATCTGAATGCTAGCGCTTATCCTTTTTCTAACTGCTTTGTGACCCCTCCGGCCATCCATTCACTGACCTATAGAGACTGGACTAGGTGGTTCCAGGGAAACATCCTAATCTAAAATTCTGTGTTTCAAATGATGCCCAGTGTGTGTGCCAGTGTGGGTAGTGGGGATGGTTCCTCCATGGGATGCCCTTGCCTTATGCTGCTATCTACCTGCAGGCAGCTATCTTGGAACCTTCACCCAGGCAGAGTTTGAGAACAGAGAAATAATAGATAAGATGTAAAAGATAGGCTGAAAACTATAATTCATTGAGTATCTAAATTTGTGACAGGCACCTGACAAGATTTCTTACATATCTAGACACTCAAAGCCAGTCTGCTCATCAATGATAGTTTCATAATTCAGATCCAAGAGAGGTTTTTCATTCCGCAGCTCGTGCTTTTAACCTGTCCTTTGCAATGACTTAGTCATTGGGTGTGAAGGAGAAAGCAGGATGGATGAATTATCAGTTTTACTGTGCTCCTTGGAAGCTGAGGACATAGACAAGCTTTCTATTCATTTTACAACCTGAAAAAACAAGGCCAGAGGCAACCTGTTGGTGAAGAGTGGGACTTGAACCCAGATCTCCTGCCTTATGCTCCCTGCCTGCCCCATCTCCATGGTCAGGGCTCTGCTGATTGATTACCCAGTCAGGCACTGACAGTGTTCCATACCAGAGGCTTGGAGGAAGACCAGGAAGGCAGGTGCTGTGGGAATTTGTCCTTCCCTAAAAGAACAGCTAGTTCTGGGGCAGGGGAGCAAAAAATAATGGAAATATTTGTTCAAATTTTTCTTTTCTCCGTTTTTAATCTCCTTGAACACAGAGTATAATAACAAATGACAAAGAGGAGTTTTAAAGCTTCAGTAAGATAATAAATGTGAAAAACTCAAGTCTTGGGTGCTGGTGTCTGTTGAAACAAGGGGCATTGTTGCTAACAGCCGTTTTCCAAAGAAGAGTAACAGTATAATCCAGCAGCCAGGACACTGCTGATGCTATCAGCTGGAACGAGCAGGCTTCCTGAGACTGGGAAACACCCCATACCCTGGTAACTCTGGAACTGTTGTCAAGCCTGAGAACATCAATGTCTCCTTTTCCATGTTGCCAATAAGTGCCTCTGTGTCTTGTCCCAGGCCTCAAGGCTGGCTGAGTAGCTGGCTGCCCACTTGGCGCCCGACTTCCATGTCTCAGCTGAAGAATGTGGAAGCCAGGATTCTCCAGTGTAAGTCTGTCCCACCTCCTCACCTCCTCAAAGAAGTCCAAAAGGATGCGGAATCTTCCCCAGACTGTGTCCACTAAGCCCACGATATCCTGATTAGCAGTGCATGGGCTAGAGGAAAGGAACATCGGTGGTTTGAGGGCAGATTCCGTCAGAGAACTTGGTATTCCGTGACAGCGCCTTCTCAGTTCTCCTAGCCATATGCTAGCTCCTGCCATAGCCAATAGCTTCACCTCAAAGTCTACGTATTCTGTCGGTTTTAAAAAATATTTATTGTTTTGATGTGTATGAGTGTATTGTCTGCATGTATGTAAGCACACCCATGGCCTGCAATGCCCGGGGAGTCAGAAGAGAGTGTTGGATCCCCTGGAGCTGGAGTTTGGACGGTTGTTAGTGGCCATGTGAGTGCTGGGAATTGAACCTAGGTCTTCTACAAGAGCAACCAGTGCTCTTAACTGCTGAGCCATCTCTCCAGCCCCCTGTAATGTATGTTAATGCACACATAAACATACACATTTTACCTCTCCCCTACCTCTTCTTTGTTCTTTCTCTCTTCTAAACACATAGTTAAGCAATCCTTAATTCCCCTCCTTCCTGCTTGAGTACCAGCAAGCCTACGTTGTTTAATATTGTTATTTTCTGTATTCTAGCCAGTTGTAGCCCACCACTGTCCAGGTAGCAGTTTGGGATTCACACAGACCAGCTCTCATAAGCAATACTATATTAGAAAAAGGTGTCCCTAGCCAAGCATGGTGATGCAGGCCTTTAATCCCAAGCACTCAGGAGGCAGAGGCAGGCCATGGATATCTGAGTTCAGGGCGAACCTGATCTACATAGCGAGTTTCAGGCCAGCTGGGGCTACAGGGAGACCCTGTCTCAAAAATACCAAAAAAAAGAAAAGAAAAAGATGTCCCATGAGCAGCAATAGCCATTGGTTCACCAAGATCCTATGACTTTCATATACCCACACACATGCACATACTGTCATCCCCATCCTGCTCTGCCCACCAGCTAGGACTATCCTCTCTGTGCCTAGAAGTAGCCACAGCTTTCAAGCCTCCATCCAGAATCCAGACTTCCTCCCAGGAAGCTTTGTTGTATGACTGCTGCCACACTAGCAAAAACCTCTACCCCACTTTGGTGCCTAAAAGGAATAAGCCCTTGGCTCAACCCAGTCCATCACCACCTCCACTTGCCTAGGCCACAGGTCTATCTCTTTTAGCCCCAAGTACATACAGATTCAGCACCAATGTGTGTAGGAGTTATATGCCTTCAAAGACCCAAAGGAAATTAGGCACACCAGCTTGAGAAATAATACCGTCTTTCTTACTGCCCACAGACTAACTGATATACAAATTGTACTTGGTCTTGAATTCTTTAGTATATGTAGTATAAAGGAAAAAAATAGGGACAGGGGAGATGGCTCAGTGGTTAAGAGCCCTGACTGACCTTCCAGAGGATCCGGGTTCGATTTCCAGCACCTACATAGCAGCTAACAACCATCCATAACCCCAATTCCAGGGATCCAGTGCCCTTTTCTGGCCTCTGCGGTTTTTGCACAACACTGGTGCACTTTCATACATGCAGGCAAAACATTCATACCCATAAAAATAAGTAAAAAGAATTTTAAATCTGATTTATTAAGCCTTTTAGAAAGACTACATAATAAAACCGTTGTCATTGGGGAGCAATCAGCTTCAATTCCCCGTACTCCATACAAGGACAAGTGAGGATTTATGACTGAGGAGCAGGGTGAGGGGCCAGTGGATGGGAAACCCTAAAGAAAGACACCAAGGGCTGGCGAGTTCTTGCTAAAGTGACTCAGCAAGATTCTTGAAGAAAGGTCAGGACTTACACATGAAAGGGGATTAAGGAACTTGACCAGATACAAAGGGTGAGGTGGTTCTCACCAGCCTGATTTAGGATTCTTGCTAATAGCAGGCTAGGTAGGCTAAAGATGGATGGGGGCCAGGGTCAAGCCAAAGTGAGCCAAACAGTTTTTGTCAGTGGTCAGAAGGTTGCAGAAGGGAAGAGCTGAGGGAGGTTGGGAAAGGTTTTAGGAAGAGAGAAAAATGAAGAACGATGGTCCAGGCAGGAGGTATTGTTGATTTACCCTGGAATTCTTCCCTCTCCAGGTCTCCAGAACAAATTCCTGGCCCGATACGTATCCCTCCCAAACCAGAACAAGATCTGGACGGTGACTGTGAGCCCAGAACAGAAGGACCGCACACCTCTGGTGATGGTGCATGGCTTTGGGGGTGGTGTGGGCCTCTGGATCCTCAACATGGATTCACTGAGTACCCGCCGCACACTGCACACCTTTGATCTGCTTGGCTTTGGGCGAAGCTCCAGGCCAACATTCCCAAGAGATCCAGAGGGGGCTGAAGATGAGTTTGTGACCTCGATAGAGACATGGCGGGAGACCATGGGGATTCCCACTATGATCCTCCTGGGCCACAGTTTGGGAGGATTCCTGGCCACTTCTTACTCTATCAAGTACCCTGAAAGGTAATTTGAAGCTGCCCTTCTCACCCATCAGCCACCTTTTTGCCTTGCTAGGAACTTTATGACATTTATTTCTGGTAGTTCCCTCCTTCACAGGCAATTTAAGAGCTACGGCACCTCCAAGAAAATCCATTGCATTTTCTTTTTTTCCTTCTTTAATATAGAGTTAAACACCTTATCCTGGTGGACCCATGGGGTTTTCCCCTCCGACCAACTGATCCCAGTGAGATCCGTGCACCTCCAACCTGGGTCAAGGCTGTGGCATCTGTCCTAGGGCGTTCCAATCCACTGGCTGTTCTTCGAGTGGCTGGGCCCTGGGGTAAGTCACCTATAGATGAAGAAACTCTGTCCTTAAACCAAGGCCATTCCATTCACCCAGCCCTGGTGCACCTGGTCTCCACCATCCCCACTTGTTCATAAATAGGAGGCCTGAGCCTGGCATTGTTACATAAAACTTCATCTGGACCAGATCTCATTATTATAGGTTTCAAGTGGTTGCTGTATTTTCCTTTCATCCGCATGGACAGATGGAACAGAATGACTGCCTTATGCATTAGCAACCCCCAAGAATGGAAGCCACTGTGGGGTAACTCTTCTGTTACCTGTGAGTTTGAGTGACAAGTTGCTAGCTACTAGCCACTCTTGGTTCCCATTCCCATGACTCTGCTAGCATCTGCAGCAAGGAGAGGCCAGAACCAGAGAGGCCAGAACCACGGCCTCCAACATAACCCACAGTAGTAGGCAGGCCCCTTTGAACCATGCCCTACTCCAGGTAAACACCTCCTCTTCCTCTGTTCTGGGTTTCTAGCACTAAGTAGCTGTCAGAAGATCCTCTGTGTAAAAGAGAACGATGTGGAGAGCAGCCTGGTGCATCGCACATTAGTAACGCCAGCATTCTGACCTCACACTCCACACTCTTCCCTTTGGGGAGCTTTTTACATGGATGAAGTAAAAAGCAGACCCCTTTTATTGAAAAGATTGCTGACCCCTGTTTTGTACTGATAGCTTAGATTTATTTAGTAATGTTCAGTAGTCATATGTATAGTAGCTGAAAGAAAGTTATCCCTGTAGCCCTTCAAGAAAAACAAAATGACCGTGAATAAAAAGTGGGAAATGATGGGGCTGGAGAGATGGCTCAGCGGTTAAGAACACTGAATGTTCTTGCAGAAGACCTGGATTCAAATCCCAGCACCCACATGGCAGCTAACAACTGTCCAGTAACTCCAGTTTGAGGGGATTTGACAGTCTCTTCTGTCCTCCGCGGGCGTTGCATGACACGGGTGCACTTACCTACATGCCGGCAATACACACATACACATAAAATAAAAATAATAATTTTTTTTTAAAGTGGGAAATGAGCATTGAAGAAGGTAAAGCAGTTCTGGAAGAAAGGAGGGCTAGCAAGAGACTCGGGTGGCACAAGAGAGTAAGTGGGCAGAGGACTGATCTCAGAGTCCCAGCACCATGGGCTCCAACAGACTCCCTACAGCCCTTTTCCAAAGAGGCGAGCCCGGCTCTAACCACTCCCTCCTCTTCTGGCCTGGTTCCTGTAGACCATCAGAGCTACTGTGTTGGTTGGCTGGCTGGCAGTCATGGAGGACTGTCCCAGAGGGAGGGCAGGGCCTATAGCTAGCCTCACTGCACCTCCCCAGCCACTGCTCTCAGACAGAAGATCTGCCAGGAGAGAAGGCGACCAGTAGGCCCAGTTTTCATGGTCTGTTTTGGACACCCTACTGCTTGCGTACATACCTTAAAGAAAGGTGAAAGGAACAGATTGTTCTAACGCGGTGCCCGGAGCCTGGGTCAGTGTTGCTAAGGTTGTCTTTCAAGGTATTCCGTGACTGCCCTGAAAAGAGGAGAGCTCTTGGGAAATGTACAGTTTCATCTGCTACCTTCAGAAGATGAAAAGGCCAAAAGGTTCCCCAAGAGAAAAAGAACACAGCTCAGTCTGTAAAAGAAAGCCTGTCAACCACAGACTCTCATGAGATTTGTGATCCTTGCAGGAAAAGACCGGGGACTCATTGACTTGAAAATAACCTGGTTCCTCAGGAATGTTAGACCATCTTGAAATTCTTTGGTCCTAAAGAATCAAACACCGTCATTTGAAACCATTTATTGCTTTCCAACAGACTTCTGTACTTTTCTTGCCCCTGTAATGTTAAGATTGTTTAAGCATGTAGAGGCAGGAGTTTAGTTTCTCACCACCACCACCACCCCACACTGGCCATTCCATATTTCTTTGTGGGTTTTGGTTTGAGTTCTGTTGTTGTTTGGCTTTTGTTTTGTTGTATGGTTTTTTGTTGTTGTTTGGTAGAGGGGTTAAGATAGGGTCTTGCTGTATAGCCTTGGCTGACTTGAATTTGTAACAGTCCTACCTCTGCCTCCTAAGTGCTGGAATTACAGGTATACATCATCATGCCCAGCATCATGGTTTTTAATCCTCTTCTAGGGCCTGGGCTGGTGCAGCGATTCCGGCCAGACTTCAAGCGCAAGTTTGCAGACTTCTTTGAAGATGATACCATATCAGAATATATCTACCACTGCAATGCACAGAACCCGAGGTGAGGGTGACTCGCAGGACCAGCTCAGTGGGGATGGTTTAAAGACAAAACTTTAGCTGCAGAGTCTTATGGTTCATTGCTTCTTCCACAAAGCCTTGATTCAGGGGAACACAGGCACCAGCAGACTTTTGATCATTTCCAGAGTTTCCCAGGGATAGGTACTAGGGGAGAGAGAAGGTAATGGGATATTAAGCATGCTGTCCATTTCCCTTCCCTAGAGATAGGCAGCGGCTGAATGAGCAATGGTCTTGGGAAACATTTTAAAAGATTCTTTTTAACTGAGAAAGTGATAGAAACATTGCTGTTATTTTGGTTTGGTTTGATTTTACAGGCAAGCATTTTTTTTAAGACAAATAAAGAGAAGTCTTCGCCCATCCTCTTCCCAGATTTCCTCATTATTTTCAACCTAATGTGTCACATAACTTTGCTTCATAGAATCTCCATTCATATAGTTCCTTGGTATAGAATGTGGGTATATCTACACAATATATTTCCAGATTTTCATAGTCAATGAAAAAATATGCATTTAATTTAATTATGTACACTTTGAAATAACCTAGCACTGAGATAAAAATTCCTTTGCCTATGGGCTACAGAGATGGCTCAGTGGTGAAGAGCACTGTCTGCTCTTACAGAGGACCCTGGGTTCAGTTCCCAGTACCCACATGGCAGCTAACAACCATCCCTAACTCCAGTTCTAGGGGATCCAATGCCCTCTTCTGGCTTCTGTGGGCATTGCATGTACATGGGGCACTTACATACCTTCAGGCAAAATGCTCATACTCATAAAATAAATAGATAGATAAATAACTAAATTTTAAAACATTCCTTTACCTCTTTTAGCAGTATAGAAGGGTCCCCAGGACCTTGAGGAGTTCCTGTCTGTGGTGACTCACTTTCATAGCTAGCCCTGCAGGCTTGCTGACCTGCAATTTTGACAGCTAGAACAGAACCAGGAAAGTATCTTCTTCCCCAGCAGTGCCTTGTGAGAGGCTGATATGATAGCACCACCTTTTGAAGAACTCACCCTGAGCTACAGGAGCCACAGTCACTGCCCCACCTCTTTTCAAGCCTGTCTAAGTCACCCCTATGAGCCCAAAGCTGTCAGGATGGTGGGAATCTGCCGTCCAACAATACCGTGAGCATTAGTCTCAACGCATTGCATGTGAGCTAAGCGAACAGCAGGGCCTTGGTTAAACAGCGCTATAGAAATTCGGCTCCCCTAGCTTCCTACTCTTTGGCTCCTCCCAGTCACCATGGGCTCATTGCCAGTCTAGGTCATGCCTGAATGCCCCATGGCCCAACTGTCCTCAGAATTTTCTCCATCTATGACCTAGTTCTGTGCAGTGGCCTCCATTCTAAGCCGCTTGTCCAGGTCCTAGATGAAACAAAGATGACATCAAGTAACCAACCCTCATTCCCTCATCCCAAATACCACTCAATTTTATAACTCCAAGCCCTTTTATTATAGCTGACAAATTTATGGTGGTTCAAATCAGTCCTTTAGAAAACATGAAATATGGCCAAAGAGAAAGTGTTTGAGTGGTACCTACTTCACGTCACCTGAACTTAGGAGTTCTGTGAATTTCTTCATTCTTTTGATCATGACCTAAGGAAGTGGACATAATTCTCTCCAAACTTTAGTAAGAAAATTAAGATGTATTCTGGTTATATCACTTGCTGAGAAGACAGGGTTTGAATCATGTCTGTCAGACTCCAGAATCCATGGTGCATGGTGTGATATCTTAAGGGTGGCCTAGGCAGAATTCACCCCTGGGGTGCAAAGGAGGCCAAGAATATAACTACACAAAGAGGCAGAGCACAGAAGGGGCCTTGTCCCCAGCCTCTCCTACCTCCTGTAGAGGCTGCAGGCCAGTCCAGAAAGCTGGCTCCTGTCCCAGCCTTGCACCAACCTGAGGGAGATTAAATTGGCATTTGTTGCGTCTCCCTTTGCAGAAGCTGCTGCTTCATCAGTCTTGAAAGGCGGATCCATTTTCATTCTTTTAGTCTCTTTAGGAAGGCCTCCTTCCACTCTGGCACTTGCTCTTCCTGGTTCACCTCAAGTGAATTCTCTCTTCCTCTCCTTATCAGCTGAGCCCTGACCTGTGGCCCTGTACTCTACCACCCTCTCGTAATCCTCAGGAATTTTAAGTTAAATGCTTAATCATATGATTATTTTGATATGATTACCTCCCAAAGATGCAAGCTGCAGTGTGAGCTTCAAGAGGGCAGGCGCGTCACCTGCCTAGTTCCCATGCCCCTTCAGCCAAGTGGTAACATGAAAATATCGGTTGCATAAATAATTACTTATTCCATTCTTGGACAACTCTTAATGCTGTGGGGTTTTCACAAAGGTGCTCTGAGGCATGTCACTCGTCTCTTAACCTCACCAGTGCTTAATGAGCCAGTGCTGGCTTCAGTACAGTCTAACTCTGAAGAGCGGCAAGTTGGCATTTGTGCTGCGGTGTTTATTCTCTCTGTTGTCTCATTCTTTCGTTCTGTCAGTGGTGAAACAGCATTCAAAGCCATGATGGAGTCCTTCGGCTGGGCCCGGCGCCCCATGTTGGAGCGAATTCACTTAATTAGAAAAGATGTGCCTATCACCATGATCTATGGGGCCAACACCTGGATAGATACGAGCACGGGGGAAAAGGTGAAGCTGCAGCGGCCGGATTCCTACGTCAGAGACGTGGTAGGTTGGCACCAAGGAGTGGGAGTTGCAGTAGAAAGTGGCTGTTAAATGAATAATTAGATGATTAAGCATTTAACTTACAATTTCCTGGGAATTTTGAAAGGGTAGTGGAGAGCTACAGCCAGTCAACTGTCCTGACACATTGGAGCCGAGAAAGGCAATCAAAATCAGGATTAAAAAAAACAGACAGATAAGATGGAACAGTGGATTTGAAATGTTTACCCCTCTGTTACATAGTTGAAGTCTCTTATCTTCTGTGTAGCCCAGGGCAGCTAAAAGGCAGGTTCTGTCCGGCAGCCGGACACAAGCTGCTTTCCCAGCTCTACCTCCCCTATGGTTCCCACCCTAATCCAGAGCTGGGACTAGTAGACCAAGAAGGCAAGACTGCAATGAGCACTCTCCTTCCTACTCTGCCATTTCCCATTGAGTCCCTGGTTGTGGTTTCCTGGACAAAACAAGCAGATGACCAGTGGGGCTCAGGGGAAGGAAAAGGCACATTGGGTACCCCACCCAAAACAAGTAAAATAGGATTTTGACACATTGTCTCTCAAAGGAGTACAAGATCCAGAAAAAAGTAGAACATTGTTTCTGAGAAGAGCGGGAAGGTAACATCAAGGAAGTCTGAGGGGAGACGAGATGGTTGGGACAGCTTCCCGGTACTAGGAATAAAGGGCTGAACCACCCCTGGTGGGTCCTTTGTCCACAGGAGATTGAGGGTGCGTCCCACCACGTCTATGCCGACCAGCCACACATCTTCAATGCTGTTGTGGAAGAGATCTGTAACTCGGTTGACTGAGCTGCTCTGGCTGGAGGAAGAGGAGAAAGTCAGAGTCACTCATCGCCCTGTCTGCATAGTCAGCACCTCTGTCCCTTCCTCACCCACTAACATGTGCCAGCCAGGCAGAGTCTTGGGCCTTCCCCAAGACAGGACCGCAGAGAAAAAGATCACTTCAGTCCCATGCTGAGGGCAGGAGGCCAAATCCACAAGAGGCCTTGAACTCCCCATCCTGGGGAAGAACATAAAGGGTTGCCTAGTGCTACCCATTCTCTCCATGCCAAGTGTTACCCAGATGCTGGTTCTGAGGGGGTTGCACAGAGCCTTGTTATCACCCTGGCGGCCTTCCCTTCCTCTGGACAGAGGAGGGCTCCCAGGAGCCTTTCTAGCTGGGGAGTGTGTCTGGGAGTAGGTTCCGTCTCCATCATCCCCTCACCTCCATCTAAGGCTAGTTGAATCAGTTCCCATTTACCTAACCAAGAGCCAGTCCTAGAGCTCTGTTCACCTGCACAGCCCCTTCCATGACCTAGAAGGTCAAATCAAAAGCTCTTATTAGCAGATGAGGAAGTAGATCAGGGGAGGATGTGGTAACACAGCTCTGTGAGAGGATTCCAACAGAACTAAGTCTAGGTCCCAGGTCTGTTGACTTCCAGCACATGTTGCAAACTTCATTCACTAAGGTTTGATGCAGGCACGAGTGCCGTGGGGCTGGTCCAAGTTACTATCTGGATTTAAGCCTAACCTTGCCCCAGATTCTAGCCCTGTTAAACAGATGTACAATTATCTTGCCCTGTGTCTCAATCCTGGCTGCCCAAGCCGGGCACCCACGTTCCTTTCCCCATCTTCTACCCACTTCAAGGCCTCTGAGCCTCTTCTGTGCCTTGGGCCCTAAAGCCCCACATGTTGTATAGAGCAAAGGTAGCTCCTGGCGAAGATGGGGAAAGGCCCTTCAGTGCCAGAGTCATGTCTGGATTCACCAAGCCCACAAGTATCTGCAGCATTTTCTATGTGGCTCCAGAGCTAAGGTCCACTGAGAGCCCCTGCCCATGGCCCATTGGGGAACCTCAAGCCAGCCATCTCTGTCCTCATCAGCCACAGAATGCTTCTCACTGCCCGACCATCTATGTCTGCCATCTGTCACCACCGTCTCCAGCTTACCCTGCTTCAAAATTACCTGCCAGCCCCTCCCATGGGCTCACTCCGGGTACTGCTCCAAGGTTCTGGGCAATAGGCTGGGCCTGGCCCCAGAAGCATGGCAGCTCCTGCCTGCTCCTTCACTTTTATAAAGCCACCCTTCTACCAGAGTAGTGTTAATTCCTGGTGCTTTGTATTCCTGATCCAGCCGCTTGGGCTGTTTTTCTATATTAATAAAGAAATAAGTAAAAATGGCTGCTGGTGGTGATATTAATATTAATCTAACAAGAGCACTGACTGACAGCCTTACTGAGTCCATGTGGTACCCAAGAAAGAGAATGGAGCCTAAGAGGTGCCTTCCTCCATGCCACTCCCTTCCTCAAGTAGTTTATCTTCAGAGCCCAGGCCAGCATGGACCACCTCCAACAGCCTACTCACAATGGAAGACAAATTAGGCCAGAGCACAGGGGGGTTAAACCCTAGACCATGGGAGAATTAGGCAGAGCTGTGCTCCCCTCTCCCCAGTCAGTACCCTGTCTACCTAGAACAGTGGCCTTCACAACCACTGCTCCCCTAAGTCCTTCTCAACCTCTGGATCTCAGCTCAGGTATTCCTTATACAGGCAAGCCTGTCCTGACCCCCGAGACTAGAAGTCCCCATTCTGTGTCTCCATGGCACATTCAACTGCCGTCTTGTAAAACTCTCACTTTGTGCTGGAGATAAGGTTCAGCAGTGAAAAGTGCTTGCTTCCTCTTCCAGAGGACCCAGATTTGGTTCACAGTATCCTTGTAACTGACACCTCTGGCTTCTGTGAGCACCTGCACTCATGAACACACACATACAATACCCACAATTGAAAATAAAATCTCAAGGCTAGAGAGATGACTCAGAGGTTAAAAGTACTTAGTGTTCTTGCAGAGGACCCTGTTTCCGTTCTTAGCAGCCACATCAGGCAGCCCACAACCACCAGTAGCTCCAGTTTCAGAGGATCCAGTCCTCTGGCCTCTGAGGGTACCTCTACACACAGTGCATATAAACTCACACAGGTATACATTCATAATTTTTTAAAATTTTAAATAAAACACATTAAAAAAATAACTTGCCTAGGCATAGTGGCACATGCCTTTAATCCCAGCTTTCAGGAGGCAAAGGCAGGTGGATATCTGTGAAATTGTGGCCAGCCTGGTCTACATAGTAAATTCCAGGCCAGCTGGGATTTCATGGAAACCACCTAAGTCCTAACATTATCAGCACTTGCCTATCTTTACTCCCTAGACAGAAGCTATGTAAGGATGAGTGGCACATTTAGCATATGGTTTAGGGGTAAATGTTGGTTTTGACAAAGTCAAGAGAAATGAAATATACCAAATATTCAAAAACATGTTTGTATTATTTACTTTTCTGTTGCCATGATGAAACACTAACCAAGAACAACATGAGGAGGAAAGGGTTTTTTCTTTTTTTGGGTTTTTTTGTTTTTTGTTTTTTTTTTTTTTTTGAGACAGGGTTTCCCTATAGCCACGGTTATTAAATAAATAATTTTAAAAAAAAATAAGGGTAAGATAATAGTATGATCACATACACAAATGGCCTAGTATTATAATACCTGTGACTAGAAAAGACCCTTCCATGGAGTCATGTGGGTGTGTAGGGTGATGTCTTTTCTCCAACACAGGACTTTTTTTTTTGTTTTTTTTTTTTTTTGAGACAGGGTTTCCCTATAGCCACAGCTGGCCTGGTACTCACTATGTAGACCAGGCTGACCTTGAACTCACAGAGATCCGCCTGCCTCTGCCTCCCGTTTGCTGGGACTAAAGGCATGTGCCGTGGAGGAATGCTGCTTACTGGCTTGCTTCCCCAGTTCATGCTCAACCAGCTTGCTTGCTTGCTTGTTTGTTTGTTTGTGATAGGGTCTCCCTGTAGCCCCAGCTGGCCTGTAACCTGGTATGTAAACCAGGCCGGCTTCAGTCTCATAGAGATCCACCTACGTCTGCCTCCCAAATGCCACCATGCCCTACTACAGCCTGCTTTCTTAACCCAACCCAGGCCCACCTACCCAGAGGTAACACAACCTACAATAATAGGATGTACCCTCCTGCATCAATTAGCAATTTTAAAAATGCCTCAGGGCTCCATAGGCCAGTCTGACGGAGAAAATTACTCCGTTGAGGTTCCCTCTTCCCAAGTATGTCTAGTTGGTTTCAAGTTGATAAAAAACCAGCACAATGTTCAAGTCATCACCAACAGTGCCTACACTGTGCTGGCTAGCTCAGAGGCAGCCCAGAAGTCCAGTTCTAAAACACACATGAATAATACATGATGAAGTAGGTGAAGACATGAACAGACACAGTGCCTTCTGGGGTGATTACAAAGCCCTGACCTGTCCCAGTACCCTGTCTTCATTGAAGGTTGCTCCGTAGAGGACGGATGCTTTAGTGCTTACTGCATACATGCCAAGGATGAGGACTATAAATGAAAAAATATGGTCCCTGCCTTTATGAGACATTCCAGTCTCCTTGGAGAGACACACTTAATAAATGATTAAGCAAATTAATGAAAACCTACAGCTGGTAAGTATAGCTTCGGGGGGTGGGGGGCCTGCTGCAGAAACAATGGCAGCTGAGTGGTTTGGATGGAAATGTCCCCCATAGGCTTCAAGTATTTGGATATTTTGTCCCCAGTTGGTGCTGTTTGGGGAGGCTTTAGAACATATGGCCATACCGGAAGAAGCACATCACTGGGGATGGGCTTTGAGAGTTCTAAGCCTTGCTAGATTTCTAGTAGCTGTCTGCTTCCTGTGCCTGCTTAAAGACGTGAGCCCTTAGCCTTTTGTTCCTACTCTGGCCACCCATGCCACCATGCCCCCCTGCCATGACATGCTCTGATCCCTCTGGAACCTGGAACTGTAAGCTCAACTAAACTCTTCTTTCTATAAGTTCCCTTGGCCATGGTCTTTTTATCACAGCAACAGAAAGGTAAAGAGCAGGAGGGCAGAGGAGGGACAGTGTTAGAGGGAAAGCCCCTTAGACTAGCTCTGAGATGCATCTTGGGAGGTTGGCAGGAATGTGCTCACAAAGATCCTCTGGCTCTGCAAAGAATATGTTCATTCTTTTTTTTAAAAAAACAATGTGTGTATATGTCCACACGTGCACACGTGTCCATGTATGTATGGTGTGGAAGAGGGTGTGAGTGACATGGCACATGTGGAAGTCAGAGGACAACTTTGTAGAACAGGTTCTCTCCTTCCTCCTTTATGTGGGTTCCAAGTGTGATGGTGCCTCATTAATAAGAATGTCACTCTTGAAGCACTTTAACCAAGGGTGGGCCCAATCTTGTTCTATGGTGTTCTGAGTCCTCTCACAACTGAACTCTGTTCTGTTCTATTCGTTATCTACTTTACTACTGTCTAACACAAGACTCCTCTCTTAATTACTGAACAGCATGTCAAGCATGGTATGAGAAAGGCATTAACAATCTTTGATAACAGTATTACAAAGGAAGTTGTTTTCCTGACCCTAGTGACAGAAGAGCACACAAAGCCACAAACAAATGTCAGTAATCTATGTACCCATGTTGCTTGCAATATTTGTCACTGTTGTTTTCAATGTTGTCACTATCACATCTCACACACACACATACATTGTTCTGAGTCGGGGCATAATTGGGTCTCAAGTAGGGAACATGGTATAAGATTAAAGCTATGCATTCAGCTTAGCTTATAAGCGTTAATTGCATCAGAATTCCAAATCATTATAGGACTGGTTACATTCTTTCTTAGAAGGAGTGCATAGTGATAAATGTTCTCCAAACATATGATTAATTTGGTTTACATGGTTATGTAAAATTTCAGTGTGTAAAGTCTTGTTACAAGAAGTTTTTCCCATTAA